GATTGTTTCCCTGGGTGCTGGGTGTCAGCTTGCTTGTTTTCTAGTGGGAGCAGCTTCTTGTCATCAGATGGCCTTTCTGGTACAGGAAGGAAGAGGGCACGTACAGCTGGGGTCTCCTTATAAGGACATTGCTATCAGGGTCACACTCTGTGACCTCACTTAACCCGAATGACTTCCCCAGAGGCCACACTGGGAACCCAGGTTTCGGTATATCAATTTAGGGAGTGACACATTCAGTTCATAACATCCATATTGGGGAAATGGGTGCTTAGAAGGTAGTTCTCAGCTTGGTATAGACTATAGTTGTAGTTTAGATGGGTCCCTTCTGCCCCTTGAGCCACAGCTCAGATAATTAGGGATAAGAATCTCAGCCTGGTGCTGGTGGCTCATGCCTGTAATCCTAGCTACTCAGGAGGCTGAGATGTGAGGATCATAGTTCAAAGCCAACCTGGGCAGGAAAATCTGTGAGACTCTTATCTCCAATAAACCACTCAGAAAACCAGAAGTGGCGCTGCGGTTCAAGTGGTAGAGCGCTTGCCTTGAAGGGCTGAGGGACAGCACCCAGGCCCAGAGTTCAAGCCTCAAGACCAACAACAAAAAGAAATATTGCGGACTTTCCTGCCTAGTCTTGCTTTGAACCATAACCCTCAGATCTCAGTCTCCTGAGTAGGTGGCTCACAAAGATGAACCACCAGTGCCCAGCTCAACATTTTTTTTTTTGTATAATTCTTCCTGCTCTACTGTATGTTTGGAAGACACTTTTTTTTTATAGCCAAATGATGAAAATGGATGAATGAGTAAGAAGATAACTGCTAGACACTCAGAATGGCATAAATCCAAAACTGCCCGGCACTGCTGGGGGAGTGAGCAGCAGGAGCTCGCGTTCACTGTGGTGGGAACGCGGAAGGTGTGTGGATGGCTTCTCCCAAGGATTAAATATTACCGTACACTGCAGCCCAGCAACTGTACTCCTAAGTATTGATCCAAGTGATTGGCAAACATATTTCCCCACCATAAGGAGCATGGACTTGTTGAGAGGAGTTTTGTAATCTCCCAAACCAGAGGCACCCAGATGCCCTTTCTGCTAGTCATCTTTCATTTGCTGTGAAGCAATAGCTGAGAGTGTAACTTCTAAGGAGGAAAGGTTTGTTTCCTAGTTTCAGTGCATGGTGACTTGGGCCTGTTGCTTTGGGCCTGTGGAGAGGAACCGCTGTGGCAGGGAGCACGTGGCATGGGAGAAGAGATGAGCACCCAACAGGCCCTACCTTCAAAAGTTCCCACCACTGGCAACAGCGTTAGGAGTTTAGGGACTAAGCCTGCAACACCTGGCTTTCAAGATCCAAACAGGGCGGGTGCTGGAGGCTCACGACTGTAATCCTGCCTACTCAAGAGGCTAAGATGTGATTGTGATTCAAAGCCAGCCTAGTCAGACAAATCCATGAGACTCCTATTCCCAATAACCACCCAAAAAGCTAGAAGTGGAGCTATGATTCAAGTAGTATAGTACCTGCTTTGAGAAAAAAAGGCTATGGGACGGAGTTCAAGCCTTGAGTTCAAGTTCCAGTACACACACACACACACAGAAAAAATGAAAAAAATAAATCATCTGGGATGTTGGTGGATGTCAGGATGGAAATCAGGAAGCGACTAAAGATGTTTTCTGTTCTGCAGTATATATGAGAACCTCCGTGCAGGGGCCGCTAGAGGCTGAGTGGTCTCCACAGAGGATAGTAGAGCAAAACACTTTCCTTCCCTCTCTCTCTTCCTCCCTCCCTCCCTCCCTTCATTCCTTCCTTTCTTCCTTTCTCCTCTCTTTTCTCTTTCTTTCTTTCTTTCTTTGGCAGTACTGGGGTTTAAAGTCAAGACTCCGAGGTATCCTTTCTTTGTCTTCCAAGGCTGTATTTCACATTATTGTGAACTGTCATGAACTCACATTACTGGGCTGCAGGAAACCTGAACTTAGTCATTCTGTCTAACTGTGCCATTGACGCTTCCCTGCTGGATAACTGCCTTTTTATACATCAGCTCCATTCATTGGTCAGTTGATAGCAATAGGGGTTTGGAGGCGTGGTTTAGTTGGTAGAGTACCAGCCAATGAGCAAAGCGTCAGGCACCAAGTTGAGTTGAAGCACATTAGTGCTTCTTATTGTCTTTGTTCCTCCAGAAAATACTGATTACTACAGAGAGGAAGCTGAGCATAGACTTTAGGGTAATTCTCTGCACTGTCTTCACAGTAATTCTGTCAGCCTAAAACAATTCCAAATAAAGTGAATGTAATAGTCATTTTGAGTAATTGTTACTTGGGTACATACATGTAAAAAGTCATTGAATTGTACATGTTTAAGATTTAGACTCCACCAGGCATTGGTAGCTCATGCCCATAATCCTAGCTACTCAGTAGGCTGAGATCTGAGGATTGAGGTTCAAAGCCAGCCTCGGGCAGGAGAGTCTGCGAGACTCTTATTTCCAATTAACCAATAAAAAGCTGGAAGTGGAGCTGTGGCTCAAGTGGTAGAGCGCTAGCCTGGAGAGAAAAAGACAAGCAAGAGCATGAGGCCCTAGTATGGTCACAAGAACAACAAAACACAGGGGCTGGGATGTAGCTCAGTGGCAAAGCGCTTGCCTAGCGAGTGCAACGTCCTGGGTTCGATCCCAGTACCAAAAAAGAAAAAAGACAAAAACAACAACAACAACAAAACACAACCAAACAACAAAAATTCCTACACCTACTGAATACAAGTTACATTCAAAACACATGGGCTGGGGGTGTGGCTCAATTGTAGTGTATATGCCTAGCAACCATGAAATCCTAAGTTCAAACCCAAGCACCGGGAAGAAATAGAAAACAACCCAGAGCCTGTGTGATGTGAACATTAAAAAAAAGAAATGTATGTGGTAGGTTTCATGTACAGCTGATCTTACAATGTGGAAAATCAGAAGATGCGGTAGCTCCACTTGCTGCAGAGCAGGGCAGGGGGTAGAGCAGGGCAGGGGGCAGAGCAGGGCAGGGGCGGGACCACCTTAGCAGGGGAGGGGGCTCCCGGCTCTGTGGTCTCGGGCCTGCCTATGTCCCTTGCCGGGTACTGACCCCCTAGGCCTTGTGGATTAGGAATCATTTGGGGATGGGGGGGCATGTTGAGATTTGGGGGAGCTGTAGGCACCATGAAGACCACCCAAGTTACCGCCCCACCCCAACCCCAAGACTCCCAGCTAAGTCCTTCGGGGCAGCCAGAGTGCCCCCTGCCCTGCAGAGAGATGCCCTCAGTGCCAGCTGTCAGACTCCCTGGGAGGCCACTGTGATGGGGTGCCCCCTCCCTGTCCCCGGGCTGCCAGCTTGGCAGGGGTGATTGCCTAATTGAGGTTTAGGATTAATTGGGATCTGGGGGGGTGGTGGCACCCAGGCTGCTGCAGCCAATCCTCGCGCCTTGGCATCCCAGCTCCCGGCTGGCAGCTGCCCTGGTCTGTTCTGACCAGGGCTTCAGAAGTGACTGACCCCTCTTGCCCTGGGCCGCAGGCAAGTGCCACATGCCAGGGCTTTGCTGTAGCTACAAGAGGCTGAGCCCCATCCTGGGTCCAGCTTGCACGGAGGGGCCTTCCCTGACTGGCACTGGCATTTCAGAGTCCTTGAGCCTGGATGCCAGCCCCAGCATCCATCATAATCATATGTGTCTTCATGCTAGTCCCTCATTGCCCTACATCGGTCCCAGGCAAAGGGCTGGACAGACATGCAGACCATGAAAATCACAGCCAGGCCCTAAAAGGACACACACAAGGGGACATTTTTGTTTGATTTTGTGCGGGTACTGGGGCTTGAACTCAGGGGCTGGGTGCTGTCCCTTAGCTTTTTTTACTCTAGGCTGGTGCTCTACCATTTGAGCCACAGCTCTACTTTCAGCGTTTTGGTGATTCATGGGAGATAAGAGTCTCTTTGGACTTTCCTGCCAGGACTGGCTTCAAACTATTCTTCTTAGCCTTCTGAGTAGCTAGGGTTATAGGCCTGAGCCACCAATGCCCAGGGACAAGTTGCTGCTGCCTTTTTTTTTTTTTGGTCAGTCGTGAGGCCTGAACTCTGGGCCTGGGCGCTGTCCCTCAGCTCTTCAGCTCCAAGCTAGCGTTCTACCACTTGAGCCACAGCGCCACTTCCGGCTTTTTTCTTTTTGCTTATGTGGTGCTGAGGAATCAAACCCAGGGCCTCATGCATGCAAGGCAAGCGCTCTATTACTGAGCCACATTCCCAGCCACTTCTGCTGTAGCTTGAATGTCTGAGTCTCCACCCAAAATCCTGTTCACACTTAGTTCCCAGCACCTCCTGTCAGGAGGTAGGCTCTTTGAGGGTGTTTAAGTTTTGAGGCTTTGTTTTTAATAGGTGGGATTAGGGCCTTCCAGAAGGTCTGGAATTTGCCCTCAGTGGCTCCCGACTGTAATCCTAGCTAGTTTGAAGGCTGAGATCTAAAGATCCTTGTTTGAAGCCAGCTGGAGCAGGAAAATCCCTGAGATTCCAGTTAACCAGCAAAAAGCCACAAGTAGAGTGGTAGAGTGTCAGCCTTGAGTAAAGAAGCTAAGGGATAGCACCTAAGCCCTGAGTTCCAGACCCATTCCAGCGACACAAAAGGGCGGAGGCTGAGGCTAAGCTGAGTGGTCAGATCCTCCCCCGCCCCTGCTGTGGCTGTGCTCAGGTGGCACTGGGGGTCCCAGGAGGAGTGGGATGTCAGCCCTAAAAGGGAGAGGGCTCTCCTGATGCCCCCTCCCCCAAGTCCTTCTGCCAGGCTGACTCATTCCTAGAAGCTGAAGGCAGGGAGCTCAGCACAGCCCCTTCTGGGCACAAGAGGAGGAAATGTCCCCAGGCCTAGGAGATCCCCTACAAAAGAAATAATAATAGAAAGATAAGCAATTGAGGGCAGACACTGTCTCTGCAGGCTTGAAGAAGATTTATTGTCAAATAAACAGACATGAGGGGTGAAGGCAGAGACAGGCACTGTGCCCAGACAGGGACAGGGAGGAGGGAAGGACTGGACAGGATGGACTTCAAGGAATGGGCAGAGGCGCCATGGTCCTCAAGTCCTATCTAGTGCTTCCAGCTTCTGCAGGTTCAGCGAGACATCATCCGCACAAATTCTGCCAGGAAAAAAGCCAAAGTTTGAGGGATCCGCCCTCCTGGCCTTATTCAGGTTGAGGCCAATCTGCTTGTTTTTTAAGAGTGCTGGAGTGTGATTGAGGAGAGGGGCTTCAAGGTCATTCCCCCACTAAACCTATTTCCCTATTTGCTTTGGCTACTCAGAAGCTCTGGGACCTACTTTTGGGGAGAGGACTTTTTTTTGTTTTTTTTTTTCAGTCGTGAGGCTTGAACTCTGAGCCTGGGCACTGTCACTCAGCTCTTCAGCTCAAGGCTAGCGCTCTACCACTTGAGCCACAGCACCACTTTGGGTTTTCTGGTGGTTAACTGGAGGTGAGTCTCACAGACTTTCCTGCCTGGGCTGGCTTTGAACTGTGTGGTTTTAAACTCCTGAATAGCTAGGATTACAGGCGTGAGCTACTGGTGCCCGGTGGGAGGACATTTTTATACACTAATTTCCTTGCATTTCCAATTAACTTTTGACTTTCCTTTGTGGAGAAGGAGCCAAGTTGCTCTAGACTCCAGTCTTGGTCCCATGCATTTTCTTTTGCTAAGTACCTAGATTTTCCCGAGTACTGACTTCCTTCTAACATCTCCCTGTGGGGATAATAATAGCCCCCCTCTTCCCGGGGGCTCAGTGTGCTTGGCACTGGGTCTGGCACTCAGGACTGGGGCTCCCTCTGTCCTCTGTTGGCTCAGAACCTGCCAGGATGTCTGTCTGTTGCTAAGTGCAGCCGGTGGTACCTTCAAAGTCAACCAGGCCGTCTCCGTTGAGGTCCATGTCCTGGAGGATCTCGTCCACCTCCCGCTGGCTGAGCCGCTCCCCCAGCAGGGCCTTGAGGGCTGCCCTGAGCTCCCCGATGCTGATGCGTCCATCCCCGTTGGTGTCAAACTGTAGTGGCATCGGGGGTGGTGTGGGGTCACCGACAGGGGTGGCTTCCTGTCAGCCCCTCCCCGACCGCTACCTCTGCCCACGCACCTCCCGGAAGGCGTCCCGCAGCTCCCGCACCCCAATCATGTCTGCCGTCTCTGCCAGCAGCTTGGGACCCATCAGCTCCACAAAGTCTTCGAAGTCCACCTTCCCGCCACCTGGGGGTCCAGTAGAGACTCCAGCCGAGCCCCACCCTCCCTCCTCTGCCTGCTCCCCTCCCTCCTGCCAGTCCTCTCCCTCCCTCCCTCTGCTGCCCAGGGCATGGCCACATTGTTTCCTGCTGGGAATCAGGTCTTTTACACACACACACACACACACACACACACACACACACACACACACACACACACACACACACACACACACACACACACACACACACACACACACAGCATAGATGGGCCCAAGGGCAAAGAAAAAAGATGGTGACATTCTTAGGACCACGAGGCCCTGGGCCCTGGGCTGACCTCTGCAGCCACCTCTGACCCTGGCGGCCAGTGCCCCTGGTTCTGGCCAAGACATCTGGGAGACCTGGGGATGGGGCAGGTCCGAGGCGCACGTACTGATCTGCTGGGAGATCTCGATGAGCTCCATCTCCGTGGGCATGTAGCCCAGCGTCCGCATGCAGGCACCCAGCTCCCGGCAGCCGATGTAGCCATCCCGGTCTCGATCAAACTCCTGGAAGGCGACCTGCAGCTCTGCCAGGCAGGGTGAGGTCAGATCTCCCTCCCTAGAGCCCTCCCAGGCCAGCCCTGGACCCCCAGCCCATCCCTCTTCCTTTGGCCCATTCACTCCTAAAGATCAGCTCCTGTTGGCTGCCTCATGACTATTTTTTTGTCCATTTTTAGCCAGGCACTGGTGGCTCACACCCGTAATCCTAGCTTCTCAGGAGACTGAGATCTGAAGGTCATGGTCTGAAGCCAGCCCAGGCAAGAAAGTCTATGAGACTCTCAATTTCCAATTAAGCACCAAAAAGCTGGACATAGAGCTGTGGCTCAAGTGGTAGAGTGCCAACCTTGAGCAAAAAACTCAGGGACAGTGTTATTCAGGCCCTGAGTTCAAGCCCCAATACCAGCACACACACACACACACACACACACACACACACACACACACACACACACACACACACACACACACACACACACAGTGATAGAAATCTGGGGATGTAGCTCAGTGACACTGAGCTTACTTAGCATGCCTAGGGAAAAAGAAAACATATAAGGGAAAAAAGGAAGACAGTAGAAAGAAGGAGAGAGAGAGAGGGATAAAAGAGAGAGACCCCCTGAAGGAATTCTAGAACATTCTCCCCTCTAGTTCCCAGTCCTCTGCATTGCTCCTCTCCTCCTCTGGCACCATTTGCACACACATGCCATCCCGGCACGCAGGCCCCGTATCTAGTTTTCCAATTGCCCAGTGCTGAGCGCAGGGCCACCGGTGGGCACCTGTTCGAGGCCTGCGGCCTGCCCGGTGGGGGACCTCCAGGCACTGACAGTTGGAGAGAGAAGGACCCGCCCCCTCCCTGCCCAGCCTTGTCTGTGTCCTCACTCCTGTCCCCTGTGGTCTTCTTGTTCCTGGCTCCTCCTGAAGACTGCTGAGGGCCCCCCCAGCCTTGTGCCCCCCACTCTTTGTCCCATCCCCCACCAGCCACCTGGGCCTGGTCCCCTCTCAGCCCCTTTACCTTCAATCTCCTCAGGCCGCAGCTCCCGGTCCTAGGGGCACAGAGGGGTTAGCAGCTCCCCACACCACCCAGTTTTCGGCATCTTCTTTCCTGCTCCCCGGGGTGCCAGCCCGCCCCGCCCTTAGCCCTCCACATGCCGGACACTGCCTCATCTTCTCCGTGGCCTGGGTATCTTGGGTGTCCTCTTCTCTGTCAGGTCAGGCCATTGGCAGGGCTCCCCTCTCCCCCCCGCCACCCTCATCTGGGATGCACAGTTCCTTTTGCAAGCCATAGATGTTGGGGGCCGGCAGAACCTCCACTCTGACGTCCCCTCCCTCTCCCTCCTGCGAAGGGACCAGGGTGGCAGGCTGGCTGGCAGGAGATCGGGTAGCCGGGTACATACGAGTTGGGTGGCGGCGATGCTGGGCCGAAGAAAGATGCAGGCTGGCCCCACCAGGCTGCCGAGCACGGAGTAGCCCTGGGCGCCCCCTTGCTCCTCGGGGTGGGGGCGGGGGTGGGGCCGGGGGTGGGAGCCCCCCAGGGGGGAGCCGGGCCACGGCCAGGCGTCCTGCGGCAGAGCCAGCCAGCCATGAGTGAGGACACCCGCCTGCCCGTCCCCCCCGCCCCCCCAGCCTGTCATCTCCTTCCACCCCACACAGGACATGCGCACAGGACCCTCGACTGTGACCCTCCGGCTGGAAAGGGTCCACCCCTGATGATTAGTTGGGTAAACTGAGGCCTGGAAACCCGGTGTCACCCAGCCAAGGCCGCTAGCACAGAGCACAGAGCTGGCACAGAGATGTCAGAGTGGGAAAGGGCATTTTGGCCAGGAGGCAGCAGCCTGCGTGCGCCAAGAAGGGCCTGAGTGTGGGGGCATCCAGTGCACAGAGAGCCACAGCCCCGTCCACTCAGCACTCTGCCCACCTGCCTGACCCCTAGGGTCACCCAGCCTCCTGGCCTTGGTTTCTCCGCTCAGCCCACTTACCTTAGGCCCTCGGTGCCGAGGCCTCTTGGCACAGTTCCCCATGGCCCCCCGAACCATGCCAGGCCAGAGTCCCCAGGCAGATGCCACAGATGCTGCTGGCCCCCAGCCGCTCCCAGTGACAGCCCGGGAGCACTGCTGGGGATTTTCCCAGGGTTTTGTGGGCAAGATCGGGCGGGTGGGCAGGCGGGGGGCCCTAGACCCAGGGCTTGGGTCCTAATCCTGGATTATCTCTGAGTATCTCTGAAAGGGAGGGAAGCCACTTGGGGCGAAGGCCCCCTGGAAGGCACAGCTTCCCCCTGCTTCCCCTTAAGGGTCTCCCAGACACCCCCTTTCTAGCACCATCTCTCTGCACCCTGCCTGTAATCTCTTCCAATCAGGAGAGCTTTCACATCTTTGGAAGTAGGCCTGGGTCCAGGAGGAGGAGGAGGAGGAGAGCTTGGTGCCAGGCTACACTGGGCAGGGCACCCTCCTTCAGAGCGGCACAGCCAAGCCCTGAGGAGACGCACCTGCCCCCTTCTCTGCCCAGTCTGAACCCCTGTGGCTCCCTGCCCTGGCTTTCCCTCAGAGCACACCCCAGTGTTCTCTGACCACCCAACCAGGAATGGCCACAGCCCTGTGCAAGGAGCTCCTGCCTGGGCACTGTGGGCATCTTCACAGAGGTGGCAAAATGGCACCCCTGGCCTCTCCATTTTGGGCTGGTCCCTCCTTCATGTTTGCTTGGCCTTGGCATTGGGGCTGTGCTACTGGGTCCCCACTGAAGTCTGAAGTCTTTGCTGCACCTTCCTGGTCCCCCCAGTCAGGGGCGGTCTCCCTCCTCACCCCTCAACACCCCCCCCTCCCCCCGCTTACCTGCCCATAGGCCGCCTGCACCTGAGCCTCCAGGTCCCGGAGCAGTGCCTGTCTGCGGGCTACTGGGCTGGCAGGGGCCTGGCTCGGTCCTGGGGTGCCTGTAGAGGGGCTGGGGTCCCCTGAAGGGGTGCTGCCATCTGTTGGGCCCTGGGGCAGGGCCATGGACACAGGGACTCCGCACCTCCGTTTGGCCCTGCTGTGTCTCTTGTGTCCTGTAGGCCGGTGGCTTGGTGGGTGGGCGTGGGCATGGCTCTCCACGGTCCTAGCCCCATGGGCTAGAAGGGCCTGATGCCCTCGAAGCCCCTCACACTGCCTGCTGCTTCTCACATGGCCCTGCCAGCCGGGCCCAGGCCACCTCGGACACCCTCCTCTTTCTCCATGCTGTCAGCCTTCAGCTATAAGGGCCAGGAAGCCGCACCTCGGCTTCCATCCTGGGTCCCCTGGAGGCCCTAGTGTCTTGCCTCCCCTCCCGTTACTGTGGCCTCCTCCTTCCGCATTTCTTGCCTCCATCTCTGGCTCATGACTCCCCCAGCGCCCCCTCCACGGTCTCTCCACTTCATACCTGCCTTGTTCTATCCCTTCAGCCGTTGCTACCCCTCTCTCTGTCCATCAGTGTCCCTGGGGGCCTCTGCCAGTTCTTCGCTCTCTCTGGTGGCCCCATGCCTTTCTCACTTTCGTCTGTTTGTCCATTCTTGCTGTCCCAACCTCCCTCTCCCACTCCCAGCTTCCAGGATTCTGGGAAAGCAAGACACCCTCTCACCGGAACTTCCACTTGGTCTACTGCAAGTTCTGCTTCTCAAGGAAAAAGGGCAGAGGTGGGTCAGGCAGCACCCCGCCCCCAGCCTCTGGTACCCCCCCTGCCATGCCCCAGACCACTTACCACCCGGCTGCCTGCTCTTCAGCTTCCAGAACGAGGTCAGCTGTCCTGGCCGCCCCTGCTCGGGTCCCTCATGATTTATTTAGCTGCCCCTTGCACCAGCCTTTGTCCAAGGGAACCAGATCCCAGCGGATGCCTGCCACCTGAGCTGGTGGCTCTGCCATCCATTCAGTATTACCTTGGCCAACGTCTGAGGCTCGCTGGGGCCCAGCCCTACGACAGCAACTGGAGGCATATGGCAGACATCCACCTGTCCCAAAGACCCTGCTCCCAGGCACATGGGGCGCAGAGAAGAGCCACCAGGCAGGCTGCTGTTCTTAGCACTGACCCTGGAGTGAATCAGGCATCTCAGAGATGAGGGAAGGGGCAACACTTCCATCCTGGTCCTCCACTGTTAGCCTCCACCTCAGCAAAGGCTGAGGCCCTGAGATGAACTTGCACTGTTTCCTGGATGACTTTCAGAGGTGACTCAATGGTGTCTGTAGCCCACCTGTTCTGAGCTTTCCTGAATGTTTCCAGAACTTTCTGTTCCGTGGGGACTGTACATTCAGCATCACAGAATTTCAGAAGATGGGAAAGGTCCCAGAGGTGGTCGAGAGGGAGACCTAGCCAGGTGCTGGTGGCTCATGCGTGCAACTCTGGCTACTCAGAAGACAGATCTGAGGGTTTGGGTTCAAAACCAACCCATGCAGAAAAGTCCATGAGACCCTCATCTCCAAATAACCAGCAAAAAGCGCCAGAAGTGGGGCTGTGGCTCAAGGGGTACAGTGCTAGCTTGAGCAAAAAAGCTAGGGTCCAGTGCCCAGGCTCTGAGTTCAAGCCTCAGTCGCAGCACAGAAAAAAAAAATTAAGGAAGGGCAGCGGGGATAGGGAACAGCATCAAGAGGGATGGGTGACCCATGGCCAAGGTGCGTTTGAGAGATCTGAGGACAGGTTAGGATTGGTGGCCAAGTGGGGAAGAGTCCATCCAATGACCCCTCATGCTGGTTGCCCTGGGGACAAGGAGCATGCAAGTATTCCAGGTGGCATTCCCAGAAACATTCCTGAGAGATCCGATTCTCCTGTGCTCTACAAGGCTGAAGAAAGGATCTGCTGAGTTCCCCCAGTCACTTTCTGTGGGCCTTTGGAAAAGTCATTTCACCTCTCTGAGCCTCTACTTCTTCATCTGAAAAATGGTGGCCCACCTCGTATCTGTCTCCAAGAAGGTGAGAAGTGTCAAGAAAAAGATGTCCCAATGTAAAATCTAGGGTGGTGGAGACATAACTGGTCAGAAGATAGCAGTAAGTTTTCAGTCATGGAACAAAGTGTTTGCAGGTAGGTGGAGGAGCATGTGTAGTTTGGACATCCTTCCTGGCTTGTGTTTCATGAGAAGGAACATGGAACATTCATCTTGGTGAGCTAAACTTGTGAAGCCTGACTTGGTCAAGATGGGGCCCTAACTCTGGGGTTCAGGGTAAGTGAGGTAGACTGATGAGTAGACAGATGCATGATGGATGGATGGCTTGATGAATGGGAAGATGGTTGGGTAGGTGGAATGGGTGGGTAGATGGATGCATGAGGCTGGGACCTGATGTCTGGTATTTGGTTGGCGGCTGGAAGGAAGAATGGATGGACAAATAGTTGGGTGGGTAGAGGGAAGATGGATGGATGAATATTTGGGTATGTAGAAGGGAAGATGGGTGGATGGATGGCTGGAAGAATTGATGAATGGACAAATGGATATTATTTGATGCTTGATGGCTGAATGTTTGCACCGATGGTTGGTTGGGTAGATATTTGGATGAATGTATAGACAAGAAGACAGAAGGAGGGATAAGCTGATGGAGGATAATTGGGTGGATGAATTGGCAGGCAGATTTTGGTTCTGTGGTACTGGGACTTGAAGTAAAGGCCTTCCACTTGTTAGGCAGGTGCTTTACCATTTGGGCCACACTCTCAGCCCTCTTTGCTTCAGTAATTTTTCAGATAGGGCCTTGAGTCTCCCCACCTGCTTCCAGGGCCAGCACAGACCATTCTATTTTTATGCTTCATGTGTGGCTGGGATGACAGGCATATGCCACCACACTCAGCTTTCATTGGATGAGGCGTTATCTTGTAAACTTTTTGTGCAGGCTGGCTTCAAATCACAATCCTGATTTCTGCCTCCATAGTAGCTTGGATGACACGTGTGAGCCACTCTGCCTGGCAGGTAGATGGTTATTTTGATGGACTGGTGGCTGAATGTTGCATGAATGGCTAGATAATTGGGTAGAGGAAGTGGACAGATGGATAAATGTAGATACAAGTTTTGTATTCTTTATTGAAAGAGTCCCTTAGGTTATAGACCATATCTTTTTGCATATATTGTGCTAGTATTGGGCTTAAACTCAGAGTCTTGGACTCTTGTTTGACTTTATTTGCTCAAGGTTGAAGCTTTCCCACTTCAATCACACCTCCACTTCTGGCTATTTGGTGGTTAATTGGAAGCAAAAGTCCCACAGATTTTTTTTCTGCCCAGGCTGGTTTTGAACTGCAATCTTCATATCTCAGCCTTCTGAGCAGCTAGGATTGTAGGCTTGAGCCATCAGTGCCTGGCTGTGCATATCTTAACCTACTTCATTGTCTCTGGTGGTGTCCAATCCATTCGTTGCCTGACAGGTCAACACACAGCTGAAGATGGCGTCTGCCTCTCTCCCTTTGTGCCTGCTACACAGCCACACCTCCAGCTTTCAGCCATGATTCTTCAGATGGCAAAGATGACAGCTCCTTCTCTACTTCCGCCCAAAGCCAGATCCCGAGCTTGGCACCTGGAAGTCATGATACTGAGAACACCATGGTTCATATCCACTAAAATAAGATAGACACTAACAAGTGTGGTGAGGACCGCCGAGAGCTGGAACCTTGCATGTTGATGGTGAGATGCTCCCTTGGGGCCGCTACTGGGGGAAAAAGTCCGGTCCTTCCTCAGGATGAGTGATCACGTGACCCACTCCTGGGTGAGCACCCAAGGGAACTAAACCCATAGCTCACACAAAAATCTACACAAATGTTTCCAGAAGCATTATTTCTAGTAGCCAGAGTGAAACAAGCCAAGTGTTTATCAACTGATGAATGAGTAGGCAGGTTCAAGGCCAGCCTGAGCTACAGAGCAAGATCTTGTCTTTAAAAAAAAGAAAGTGAGAAGTGGACCTGTGGCTCAAAGTGGCAGATCACTAGCCTTGAGCAAAAGAAGCTCAGGGACAGTGCCCAGGCCCTGAGTTCAAGCCCCAGGACTGGGAGCGAGGAAAAAGAAAGCAAGAAAGAAAGTGATATAAGCCTGGTGCTGGTAGTTTGTGTCTATCATCCTAGCTACTCAGGAAGTTGAGCCCTGGAAGTTTGAGTTTCAAAGCCATAGCCTGGCAGAAGAGTCTTGGAGA